TTTTACTGAATTATTTACAGATAAGTAAGGGATAATGTACAGGCATTTTTTCATTATGCAGAATAAACCTAGCAGAGTTTAAATTGTTGTATTATCTTTCTAGTATATTTAAGGAAAATTCTCAAAATACATTGTCAGAAAATCTGCTTTTCAAGTTAATTTATCTTCAAACATTTTTAGGTGTTTTTACAGGAAAATAAGTGCAGTGCGGCAACCATTTTGAGTTGTACAGTCAGTTATTCTAACTTGCATTGATATAAAAAGAGAGACGGTGGAGGGATACTAAAGACATGAAAGTAGCACCAGTATGTTGTATGCATAATATAGTTTATATGCAGAAATATAACGTTTAGCAGTCATACAAACATGTTTGACTGCTCAGTTGTGGAATTGACCAATCAGAATCAAGTATTCTAGAGCACCATTCAGCAAGGTGAATCTGTGCCATCTGTGATATTATTGCACAATGCACAAACTTCAGCTAAACTTGCAATTCAGCTGTGCTGTTTCTAAGCAACTTCTCCCAGTTTTGGTGAATGGATTCAGTGTTTATAAAAACAAGATTCCTGACTTTTATCTCCAGAGTGGTTGAGAATAATAAGGAAACAATGTGATTCCGTTCCAGCATTGTGTTATGCCACAGTCAGCAATAGCAGAGATATTGTGGTATTTCCTGAAATGTGATTTGAGCATCTCCGATCACGAAAAACAATCCACCCATGGAAAATGGAAGTAATACAGGTTTGAAAACTCTCTCTGAGAGGAGACAGTAGTATTTATTTGCTGTCTCTATGTGAGAGAATCTTTCTCAGATCTTAAATGACCCCTGCAATGCTGTAGCTGACTGCACCAGATTTTAAATCCGTACCTCAGTGTGAAAGGAAGATAGTAAAGGCTCTTTCATGCCCTTGTGCTTCTGTTTTTTGCTGTTACGGGCCTTTGGATCTGCTGAGTCACATCCTCCCAAAGTTAATTAAGTTTTCATTAACTGTGCATTATAAGATCAAACTGGACCTTTTTTTATTAATCTAGTGAATTACTCCATATTCTCTCATGTCAATGGGGTGGTTGCAGCAGTGGATAAATATGTGATCTGGTAACCCAAAGATCCTAGGTTCAAACCCTGAAACCTATGATCCGTAAACTAGAGTTTTTTTTTCCCCTATGAGGCACTTAATGGGGGGGGGGCAGACTCTTAAAGGGACAGTTCATCCAAAAATGAAAAATAGGGCTGCACGATATATCGAAATATCGCAATATGCATATCGCAACGGCGTGCGATATCATTATCCTTTTAATAATATGCTACTTAAATCAAAACGTTGCAAAAGGTCAAAGTTTTAGTTCGACGCATATAGCAGAGAATTGCTTGACGTTAAAAAGAGTTATTAAGTGCACGCATATCGCATTTTTCTTCAATATTGCACAGCCCTAATGAAAATTATAATACCTAGCTGAGAAGTTTAAAACGTTGACAGATTTCACAACCAAATATCAAAGAAAACTAAAAGAAAAACATACATTTGTGAGTATGTGTAGTTGCATTACAGTACATGATCAAATGTAAGATATATATGGAATAAGTTACTGCTTCGTTTAAGACTAGCACCTATGCTCTGTTCTTTTAAGCCAAATTTGAAGTCACATGTACTCACGTTAGTGTTTGGTCCTAGACTAACTAAAAGAGGGGTTTTCTTGTTTATTTTATGTTATTGAACTTGTCTGTTATTGATTGTATGTCATGTTATGGTCTTATTGTTGATAATTTTACCTAATGTTGAGCTCAAAGTAGATTCTTCAGCATTTCACTTTCTGTGTTCCTTTTTAGAAAGAACATCATAGAGGTTTAAATGGTTGATGACCTCTTTTTCTGTCTGACTAATTCTCACTCCTGTATGACCCTACAGCACTGGCTTATTTGCTTTCAGAGCTGAAGGGTCGCACAAAATCTGTAATTATTGGATGTATGTGTCAGCATTAGTTTCCCGGCCAGCTGAGGTCAGTGCCACACTGAATACTCTTCACTGCGACATTGTTGTGGGGAAAAAGACTGATGTGCCTCTTTTAATTTGTTGGATACGCTGATGCACTGATTGATAGAGGCAAACAAGGGTCAGAAGTGATTGCCAGGGACTATCAATAAATGCATTAAAATGGGCATGGATGTGAGATTTCTACAGCGGTAAATGGACTTACAATAATTCTGGCAGCCTTCGCTAAGTGAGAGGATTAATGGTAAATGGAAGCTTGCACGGGGAGCTGCTGAGCCCATGGGAGAAGGATTAGAGAAGTACAGACTGCATGCCAATGAGCCGAATCATCTGGAGTATTGCAGCAAAGCATGATGAACTAACCAAGCCAGACACACACCAGCTGAGATCACGTTCATGGGCATACCTATGCCAATGAAAGCAAACGGGGGCTATTGACTGTGATGAAATTTTGGAATTGCATGGTGAAACGTTTCGCCTTTTTTCTTTTCTTTTAATCATACAGGCCATTATGTCAGAGTGACACATAGTGACACTTTTTTTTTTTGCAATGTGCACAAGCAGAAAACATTGAACTCACACGTGCGCAAGGTGTGCTAGTGATAAGATCAGTCAGCAGTGTGGTCATTCTTGAAGTGAACATTTGTCTGAATGGTGATTAGATTCACTGTTTTGGATCGCCGTATTTAATTGGAGAATGCAAGTACAGAATGACATGTCCAGTGTCACTAGCTTGTGCAGCAACAGCCTCCCCTGGGACTATTTAGGGGGCGCTGTAGGCTAACTTGTAAAAACATTAAAGTAAAATACACAAATTACACTAAGATAATTGTACTTCTGAATAAATAAAGCAACAATTGATGTCATTAAATCATGTTTTAAAGGTCAGAAGCTATAGCTTATATAAAAATCACTAACATAACACTTGTAAATTAAATAAGACTTAAGACTAAGACTAAGTGAAGTGTGGCCAAGTATGGTTTCCCATACTCTGAATTTGTGCTCTGCATTTAACCCATCCAAGTGCACACACATAAGTGATTAGTGAACACCAGAGTGGTGGACAGCCATTTTTTTTTTTTTTATAATATATACAGATTTATTCAATAATGTGTAGGCTTATATATATATAAATATATATATATATATATTTTTTTTTTTAATGGATTACCACAGCTTAAATACATGGAGCACTAAAAGATTTTTATAATTTGTACTGCTTCTTTGCTTTTGCTTCATCTACAATTGGTCTAGTATGGGGTGGTCAGCGTTGGTACTGGAGAGCCACAGTCCTGCAGAGTTCAGTTCCAACCCTAATCAAACCCACCTGAACCTATTAATCAAGGTGGGTGACTTAGCCCTGTGTTCCATTCGGAAGGGCTCATCCCTATGCCCTAATCCCTTCAAAGGGTTTACCCTCCGGAGTGAGAGCTTCGAAGGGATGAAGGGTGTAGGGGTAAAAAAAACCTCTTTTTTTTTCTTCACTTCTGCGTCACCTTAACGAGACGATCAAGGAGGCGCCTTCGTCCCACATTTTGTACACTGGTTGACCATCCAGAAAACACATTCGGAACGATGAGTAGATTGTGCAAGCTGCGCCTTTTGTTTAGCATTAGTTTATTTATTTTTGGTTTATTGCATCAAGGCCACTGGATATTACTTCATAAGCAATTGGCTTTAAATGGATACATTTTGCCTATGCATAATTAATGCCATGCAGTTCTAAATGATGCCATACAACTTATATGCCAAATACGCATAAATACGCCAAACAACTTCCCTGTGCAAAGGATCATGGGGGCCTGAAGTGTCCATCAGTTGTACCCTTTGAAATCCTTCATTCTGAAAGGCAGGTGAGTTTTTGTTAAGGTTGGAGCAAAACTCTGCAGGACTGTGGCTCTCCAGAAAAATGTTGGCCACCCCTAGGCTGCGTTCCAGTCTTTTTTTTATGCCCATTCACTCGCAAACTTCCCTCCGTCTCGTTTACTCGGATGTACGTCATTGATTACGTTGCATGAGTGCCCACTTCTGGCGGAACCCTTGGAATGGGCTGAACTGGAACTGGAAATACATCAGTATCGGCATCGGCTATCGGCCAAAATGGCCAAAAAATAACTGTTAATTTGAATACATTTTGAAATACAATTTATTCCTGTGATGGCAAAGCTGAATTGTCAGCAGCAATTACTCCAGTCTTCAGTGTCACATGATTCTTCACAAATCATTCTAATATGCTGATTTGCTGCTCAAGAAACATATCTTATTATTAATGTTGAAAACAGCTGTGCTGCGTAATTTTTTTATAGAAACCGTGATACTTTTTTCAGTATTCTTTAATAAATTGAAAATTCAGAAGGACAGCAATGTAAAAGTCTTTACCATCACTTTTGATTAATTTAATGCATCCATGCTGAATAAAAGTATATACTTATTTAAAAAATCTTACTGATTCCAAACTTGATAAATGCAGTCCTGCTTCTCATGAAATAAAAAAAAATCTCATAAATTAGATTTCATGATGATCGAGTTTGTAATCATTCTTAATGACACACACAATGACAGTTATTTTGCGATTTATGGCTATTATAAGAGAAAAATAGTGTGTTTTTCTGGAAGAGTTGCAGAAACACTGTCAGTGTGAAAGCCCAATGCGAGTCTGCAGACGTATGCAGTATGTGTGAAAAAGGTCTTTGATTGCTATCCTATGCTTGACACTTGGTCCAAATGGAATGCCAGCACTGGCTTTATTTTTTTATGGGCTATGTTCTTTTTTTGCCCAGAGCAATTCAAGAAAAGCAATAACAGCTCAGAGAGTCTCATGGCCTCATGTTATCTGATATAAATGACAGGGCAATTACTCCATCAGTGAAGTTATAACAGTGCTTTATGTATAGGCGGTTGTTGCTGTATAATGTAAACTTGACCATAATAAAATATCAAGCACATATATGCTAGGATGATATCAGTGTGTGTGCTAATTCTGATCTGTCTTTCATTCGTTCTCTCCAGCTGTGCAATCTCTGAACAGCCTGAACGACCAGATCGCTCACTTCATGGTGAACAGACCCAATGCCATGAGCCACAAAGAGGACACTTTTCTGCCCACCGAGAGGGATACTTTGAGCCAATCCATGGCTCTAATGAGACACCTGCTCATGGATGCACAGGTAAAAAACATCTTAAATCAGTTAGGGTTGTGAGCCATTGAGAACTGAATGTCTGAATGAATTTGAACTAACCAATTAACTAAACTAACGGTGCTCTTTAATTTAAACATGTTTAATATATTAGATACATTATTACAGCATATAATGTATTCGATTAGATTATTCTATATAATCTAATAATCATCTATTGATTATACAATATAAAAATATTGATTGCATATATATATATATAGAGAGAGAGAGAGAGAGAGAGACAGTATTAAGCTTTAGAGAATATGTCTAATCGATTGGGGAAACTTTCAGCATTGTAAGTATTCTACATATCGGAATAAAGATTAGCATAATATTCAAAATTATTGATGCAATAATTATACATTATACATAATTATACATAATTAAACAAAATTACAAAAATTGTGTTTAAATAATTAAATTCCTGCTGAAATTCCTTGTTGAATATATTTGAATCCCTCATTCAATTCAGATTCCAGTTCTACATCCTGTGTGGCCAATTCCATTGAAATTCACACCTAATAAACTGACAGGGAGGTGATATTATGTTACATTTATCATCATTTATCATATAAGGATAGTAATTTTACAACAGCAATTTGAACAAAAACTGCAATCAATTAACACTGAGGAATTAATTATATACCTGTATGACGCCTCTGCAGCCCTCTCGTTTCTGAAGGAGCTGAAAAATGATTGTTATTCATGAGGAAGACGAGACTCAAAGGGAACATCAGCAGTTGAGCTTGTGATGACTCATTCCTAGTTATTTTCACTGGTTACATCATGAAGAAATTTCAATACATTAATCAAGGAGCTTTAGCCTTAGGCAGACCACTGTGGCATGACACTTTACTCCTGATTGCATCTATGTTGCACAGGCTTCAATAAGTCTGGACAACACGTCTACACCCCCGGATCCATTAATGGCCCTGTCCATAGAGATGCTGTCCACACTCACTCTAAAAACACTGTGATCACTGAAAGATTTCAGCTGGTGTATGCCCAGAGGTGACTGCAATATTTCTAGTGATGTTCCCCCATCATCTGTGTCACAAAAAAGACAAAAACATCTCTTGTGAACCAACCTGCTGTTGTGCTCTTTCCCTCAATGGAAGCATATATACTACCGTTCAATAGTTTGGGGTATGCACGATTTATCTTTTTGAAAGAAATGAATGCTTTTAATAGTATTTAGCAAAGATGGGTTAAATTAATCAAAAGTGACCACGATTTTTTGTAACATTATAAATGTCTTTACTATTTCATATATTTCAAATAAATGCTGTTTTGCTCTTTTGAACTTTCTATTTATCAAAGAATCCTGAGAAAACAATTGATCACAGTTTCCACAAAAAAGCAGAACAACCATTTTCAACATTAATCAGAAATGCTGAAAGCACCAAATCAGCATATGATGATCAGAATGATTTCTGAATTAAATTAAGCTTTCTATCGGGGGGGAAATACATTTTAAAATATATTCAAATAAAAATGGATAAGTAATAAAAGTTATAATAAAATAATAAATAAAAAGTTGTAATAATAATTTTAAGTTGTAATAATATTTCACAATATTAATAAAAGAGACTTCTTTCAGAAACATTAAAAAAACTTACCCACCCTAAACTTGAACAGTATGTCTTAAAGTGATTATCCACCCGTATTAATCGAACATCTCTATTTTTTTTGTGTGTTTACAGAAGAAAAAAAGTAATTTTTGGTGAACTATCCCTTCTGGCTGTTGCAGTACCACTAATGTCCTCTAGGTGATCCTCTGTGAGGTGATGTGTGTTTAAAAATAAAGTGTGTCATTTATTCTCAAACAAACAGTAGTTTCGTTTGGTGCCACTAATGGTTAGAATTCACACATTTCTAGTAATCTATTTAAGTGCTTCCCTTATCTGTATTCATTTTGCTTAGTGCTGAAGATGTTTTGACAGTGCTTTTGGGGTCACAATGAGGTTCGTGCATACAGGGTCAAGGGAAGTCGATGTCGAGGAGGACCAAAGCATTTTTAAATGTCATAATTTGAATAACTGAATGTCACTTTGTTGAAAGACTAGAGGCGCATGAATAATTTACTGCGCCCCGTTTCTCTGACACCCATGATTCAAATGCACCATTCAAAAATCATTAGCACACTCTCCTTTTTTGACAATGGATACTGCATTTGACTGGAATCACATTTTCTGACCTGGAAAACAGTGAAAAGAATAATCAAAGGAAGCGCTTGCTTGTGTGACTAGTCTGGGACTAAACATTTTATGTGCCTCAGGATTTTGATAAAAAGTATCCACTACCTGATTTCGTTGTAGTTGTTGATGGAAACTAGTCTCCCTGTGCTGATCCACTTAATTGTTTCCTACTTCCATCCCCAGGATGCACGTCGAGGGAATGTTTGTCTGCAGTACAATGCCTGTCAAAGGCTTTTTAAAAAGCTCTTTCCTGAACATTGCAATCTTTCCTTCTCATCTAACAGAGCTGTTTACACAACAGAGACACTCTGGCTAGAAACGGTGAATGCAAAAGTTAAAAAAGAATTCACTACGTTCCGAAAAAGTAACCCGCTGGGCGCTTGCTTAGGCAGCTCCATTGAGTTTGATTGGTGGATTTTACAGTTGATTTTCCCAGTACACATTCTCATACTGTAACTCTCTCGCTCATCCTTGTTAATGATGAATGTTCACGGGGAAGAGACATAGTGATGTATTTGGCTAATCAATTAGACACAACGCAGATACGCTTGACTGGTAACATGACTCGTCCCCATTTTTCAGAATATATTTCTTACTTGCGGTGTCATTGATTAAGGAGAAAGTAATTCAGCAAAAGGCCACCGTCTTCAGTTGCGGGCGGCTCCGTGCTAACTGTGCAGAGAGATTGTTAGCCCCAAGTTGCTTTCTCTTTCAGAGCAGGAGTGCGAGACTTTATGATGGATGAGAGTGAATTTATGAACCGATACTAGGGTTTCAAGTGCGGTTAATATGTTAAATCTAGGGTTGCAAGATTTAGGAAAAAAATCTAATTGCAATTTTAAAAATGGCTATAATAATAATAATAATAATAATTATTATTATTATTATTATCATCATCATTAATTCAACAAATATATATATAAATCTAAAAAATCTAAAAATGTAATATGTATATATGTACTGTATGTATGTGTATATATATATTAGGGCTGCACGATTAATCGCATGCGATATTTAACGCGCATCT